TCTCTCTCTCTCTCTCTCTCTCTCTCTCTCTCTCTCTCTCTCTCTCTCTCTCTCTCTCTCTCTCTCTCTCTCTCTCTCTCTCTCTCTCAACTTAACCTGTCTTTCTATTAATATGGAGCTTTTCGTACCATCGTCTTCACCATTTATATCGGTCAAACCCATTATTCCACAGAAGCAATAATGATTGTAATATTACGATATCGCAGAGGATCTGTATGATAGACAGACTCTTCTAGCACGTCTTCATAACAAACTAAATAGTACCTAATTTTTCATCTCTTTGCTTACAGATGCATGACCTTGGCTGGAGGACTTGGCGGCTTGGGCCCTCTCTACCACCCGGCCTTCTGCGGGATCTGCACGTACAAGCCCTCCACCGGTGTCCCTTCGGAGTCTGGGAGAGGTCCTACAGCCTCCCCTCCATCCCTGCTGAACGCGACCTCCGCCTCTCCTACCTCCCTCCTGAGTGGCGCGACTCCCTCCCCGACGGCCCTCCTCAGCGGTCCTTTGGCCAGCCAGCCGCCCTCCCTCCCTCTGGCTCCGACACCGAACCCGAGCCTTTCCATCGGGCCCGCGCCGTCTGTGGGTCTCCCGATCGGCGCGACACCCCCTGTCAGTCTCTCCCTCGGCCCTTCACCACCTGCGAGCCTCCCTCTCGCCCCCTCCAACCCTTCGTCGTTCCTGAGCGGCTCCGTGTCCTCCCCGTCGCCGCTGACGACCACCACGACGGCGCCGACCATCAAGAAGCCGGTGCCCCTTCCAGCCTCGTCGGCAAGCTTAGTGGCCCTCCGCGCCCAGGCATTCTAGGAGATCCTTGAGTCCTTGTCCTTTTTGCTTCTGATATTTAGGTAGTAAATCGCTCCAGTGTGTTTTCCAATTGATTAGAAAAAAAAGAGACGATGTTAGAAGAAGAAGGAGGAGGAGGAGGAGGAGAAGAAGTAGAAGAAGAAGAAAGAGAGCAAAAGACGATACAAAGAAGATTTTGCTCAACAACTTACCTGTTTAATTTTAGTCTTCAGCCAAAGAAAGCGTAACTATTAATAATCTTTCGACTTTTGTCAGTGCACGGTAGATAGTTATACTGCAAAATATTTTATTAGATATTCATTATGAAATACTCGAGGATCTTTGTAAATATATTTTTCTCGAGATATTGAAGAGTAGATTCTTACGGTGCAATTCTAGTTAATTGGGTAAATCAACTATGATGCCAGAAAGATTGTTATCAGATATAAAAGAAAACTATTTACATATCAAATCGTAGGTAAATTATCATTGATATTATGTATTACTCTGAGTGTCTTATTTCATTACATTTTACAAGAGTCACTGGCACTCTGAATCTGCAAACGTTTACGTAAATAGTTTTGAGTTTTAGTATCATGTTTGGGCATCAAGATTCATATTTTCTTAATCTCTCTCTCTCTCTCTGTTTCTCTCTCTGTCTCTCTATCTCTATCTCTGTCTCTCTCTGTCCTGTCTGTTGTCTCTGTCTTGTCTGTCTGTCTGTCTGTCTGTCTCTCTCTCTCTCTCTTCTCTCTCACTCTTTCTCTCTCTCTCTCTCTCTCTCTCTCTCTTCTCTCTCTCTCTCTCTCTCTCTCTCTCTCTCTCTCTCTCTCTCTCTCACTCTCTCTTCTCTCTCTCTCTCTCTCTCTCTCTCTCTCTCTCTCTCTCTCTCTCTCTCTCTCTCTCTCTCTCTCTCTCTCTCTCTCTTCTCTCTCTCTCCCTTTCTCTCTTCCCTCTCTCTCTCTCTCTCTCTCTCTCTCTCTCTCTCTCTCTCTCTCTCTCTCTCTCTCTCTCTCTCTCTCTCTCTCTCTCTCTCTCTCTCTCTCTCTCTCTCTCTCTCTCTCTCTCTCTCTCTCTCTCTCTCCTCTCTCTCTTCTCTCTGTGTTTCTGTGTCTGTCTCTGTATCTGCCTCTCTTTGTCTTTGTCTTTGTCTTTGTCTTTGTCTTTGTCTCTCTCTCTCTCTCTCTCTCTCTCTCTCTCTCTCTCTCTCTCTCTCTCTCTCTCTCTCTCTCTCTCCCTTTCTCTCTCTCCCCCCCCCCCCCCTCTCTTCTCTCTCTATCTCTCTCTCTCTCTCTCTCTCTCTCTCTCTCTCTCTCTCTCTCTCTCTCTCTCTCTCTCTCTCTCTCTCTCTCTCTCTCTCTCTCCCTCTCTCTCTGTCTCTCTGTGTTTCTGTCTCTTGTCTGTCTCTGTATCTGCCTTTGTCTTTGTCTTTGTCTTTGTCTTTGTCTTTGTCTTTGTCTCTCTCTCTCTCTCTCTCTCTCTCTCTCTCTCTCTCTCTCTCTCTCTCTCTCTCTCTCTCTCTCTCTCTCTCTCTCTCTCTCTCTCTCTCTCTCTCTCTCTCTCTCTCTCTGATTAATTCAAAACTGATACATCATATTATTTTAATAATTACTTTTATTATCATTCTTATTACCATGCATGCGTCATGGTACGTATTTATTTACTTATCAGTTAAGAATCAATTTTTATTTGTATGAATCATTCCAAAGAGAAATTAAATTCAATCCATTATTAGTTTTTTTTTTACGAATATTGTCATTAGTGTGTATAGTTCACCATTTCTTAGAAAGACAGGAACCACAAAGGAAGTTGTGGTCCATACTGTATACGAGGACTAGTCTCCCATAGACATTTTCATATCATATTTTCTATTCATATGACTAAACGTGATGTGAAGATTAGCATTTAGTAGTTTTGGCCTTTATCAAAAACATTTATATATACATTGTTAGCACTATAAATACTGCATTGTTTTTTTTTGGTCATAAACAAAGCGAATATGAATATGGTAAATATTACCATGAAAAGGTTCTGGTGTACATTTACATATATAGTTGTTTGCTGATAGTCCTCTGTCGACTAATACCTCTTTTTAGTTTGTAAATATTGTAGCAGAATTTGAAATAAAATGAAATATCGATCTTGGTTCCTTTCAATTCCTCCATGTGACTAATAAATCATTATAGTAAATTCTACGAGTGATATTTTAATCGGGATTGCATTGATTAAGAATTCCACATACTATGGCAAGAAAGGAAAGGCTAAATTAGTAGCAACTCGAGGAGGTGTCATGGCGTCTGATTCTGTAAAAAAAAAAAAAAAAAAAAAAAAACATGGGATTTATTTTGATGACGTCACAAAAGTTACCGATGCTTTGTGAATATGGTCGATCATTTTGGTCTCTTCAATTTTCAAAAAAGGGATGGAAAATAATGAATTTAATGGTTATACTTTCATTGAACAACCATCAAAACAGACGCCATGACACCTCGAGTTGCTACTGATCTAGCCTTTCCCATGGCAAGAATTTTCAGTAACAGCACCGGACCCCAAACTCCAACTGAAATGGGTGTTTGGATAACCCTTTTAATTCTTTAATGGCATTCTTTATGGTTCATTTTCTAGTTATTATTATTATCATCTTTATTATTTTATTATCATTATTATTATTATCATTATTATTATACTATCATTGGCATTGTTCTTATTATCATCATTATTATTATTATTATCATTATTATTATTATCATTATCATTATCATTATTGTCATTATTATTATTATCATTATTATTATTACTATTATTATCATTATTATTATTGTCATTACTATCATTATCACTGTTACTGTTACCATTGTTATCATCATTATTATCGTTATCATTATCGTTATTATTATCATTTATCATTCATTAGTATTATTATATTATTTCATATTGTTATCATATCATTATCATTATCATAATTATTATTATCATTATTGAAATGAGCATTATTATCATTATTTTTATCATCACTATTATTGATATGATCATTATTATCATTATTATTATCATTATTGATATCAATCGTGATGTTATAATTTTCATTATTGTATCATTATCATTATTATCACTATTAATATCAATATTGGTACTGTTATTATTTTTATTATTGTCATTACTATTACTACAACTACTTTTCGTCTTATTAATATTATCATTATCATTTTTATTACTATTATCATTACAATTATAATTAATACTATCATTATCGTTATTACTATCAGTATTGTCATTGTTATCATTATTATTATCATTATTGTTATCATTGTTATTGTTTTTGTCATTATCATTATTATTATTGCAATCATTATTATTGTTATTACTATTATTATCATTATCATTACTTTTATCACCATCCTTATTGTTATCGTTATCACTATTACCATTATTATCTTCATTATTATTCTTATTATCATTATAGTCAATATTATTGTCAACATTATTATTGACGTTATTAACAGTATTGCCATTATTTTCATTGTTATTAATATCATCATTGATTTTTCATTATCATTATAATCATTGCTGTCATTATCGTTTTCATCACCATTGATATTATCATTATCATTATCTTATCATTGTTATCATTATCAATATCATGATCATGATCATTATTATTACTGTTATCATTATAATTTATCTTTTTATCATCCACGTAACTGTTTTTATTATCATTATAAATCTTACCAATATTTGTGATATGAGAAGTATCACTATTGTCAATGCTTGTTCATGTATTTGGTGTTTATAAGTACACGGGAGACAGACACACATGTAAATATAAGTGATGTGTATGTGTCCCGGCCATTGTATGTGGTTATGTGAGACACAACATGGCCATTCATATTACTCTATTTTCTTTTCTCTCGCGGTTTACGCCTAGGATCACCTCTACAAAAAGAAAAGAAAAGGAATAAATAAATGGATAAAGATTAAAAACTACATGATGTCGGTCACATTGTCGCTCATTCCAGCCGGATGCCCTTCCTAATCTGGGATTGGAAACACGGTCGATGAGATGAATGGCTGATCGTGAGGAATACATATTGAACAGTCACGTTAAAGGAGAAAGAGAAAAATCTTGACTAAATGTGATAGAAAAGATTTGAAAGCCGAGTAATAGTTCGTATTGTGAATTTTTCGTTGGGATCGAGAAAAGAAAAAAATATATATACGAATCATAAATATATTGAGTATAAAAAAGCTGGGATTACATAAATAAGTTACATTTTCAAATGAAAATGAATATTTGTACATTTAAATATATATATAATATATCATATATTGTAACACAACAAAGTAAATTGCTCATAAAAGCAGAAGTTAAGGATATACAGGAATGTAAGTATCGCTGAGCTGCTTGAAGAAATATTTAGACACAAGCATCATTACTGATATCATTTCATTAAGAAAACTACTGAGGATCAGTCGACGGAATGTCCTGACTGCGCTCCGACGGCGAGACCAGCTCGGTTCGGGAAGGCTGCGTCTGGAAGGGGCGCGCGTGGGGCGGCTCCGAGGTCTGTCTGTGCATGGGCGCGGCCTGGGAGGACTCCGGCAGGGACCTTTGTGCTTGGAAAGGCGCTTGGGATGTCGGCGGCGGGAATGAAGGGATGTTGGAAGGTTGCTGGTGAAGTGTTTGCGTGTGGGACGGCTGTGGTTGTCCTGCTTGCGTGTAGTAGGTGTGTGGGACAGAGATTAGCTGCACGGACGGAGGCAGCGTGGAGAGCGTGGAGATCACCATGCTGACCTCCCTCGCGCCTGCAGCCGCGGCGGGGTGATGCTGCTGCGAGGCTCGGCGTTGAGCGTTCACCGGCCTGTTGTACTGGCTCAGGTCCTGCACGGACTGAGATTTAGACACCTCGTTTTGGGCGGCGGTTTGGTTTTGCATCGCTTGTTGGTACTGGGGCTGATTCTGCGGCTGGATCTGCTGGAAGACTGGCTGGTGCATCATAGACTGATAGATCAGATTCTTGTTGTGTTGCTGAAGCTGAATCGACATCTGCAGCATCTGCGTCTCCATCATCTTCTGCATCTGGTCGAGGCGTTCCCTCAGGATCTTGTCGGTGGTCGAGCAGTCCGCCAGCTGCCCCAGGCGGCGGTTGAGCGCGCGCCAGTCGCGGTCGTACTTGATCTTGAAGGACTTGAACTGCCTCGAGAAGTCCTCTCCCTCGATGTGCAGGTCCTCCACCTTCGGGTCCTCGCAGGTGCCGAGCAGGATGGCCTCCTGCACGGTCTCGGACGGGATGTGCTGCTGCTGCCTGCGGGACTTGTTCTCCCGGCTGGGGAACACGGTCACCACGGGCATGATCCTCACGCGACTCGTCAGCAGGATGCGCATCCGGCGGGGGAAGCAGCGCAGGCTCCTGGCCACCCACATCAGCTTCTCGTACGACACGAGGTACGACGCCTGCTTGGCCAGGCGCTTGATCTTGCCTTGCCGCTGCAGGTCCGGGATGTCGTTGACGGCCAGACCGATGAGCAGGTTGGCCATCAGGATGCACACCAGGAAGAGGAACAGCACCAGGAACAGGGAGCTGGTGATGGGCATCTCCGAGGCGCCGTACAGGTCCCCGTACTCGATCTCGCCGATCATCATCATGAGCGTCTTGACCAGGCTCAGCGGGAAGTTGCGGAAGATCGGGTCGTTCTTGAAGATGATCATGAAGCTGATGGAGAAGCCGATGAGGAGGCTGGAGAAGGCCAGGATGAACTTGGTGATGGACTTGGCGACGCGAGTGAACATGAGGACGTAGGCGCCGAGGGACGGGAAGCGGCCCAGCAGCATCATGAACTCCACCCAGCCGAAGAACGCCGACACCGCCGCCACATGGCGCACGATCGGCACGTCGGAGTGAAAGGGAGTGCTGTCGTCCGGCGTTCCTTCACTTGAGACGTTCGCGTCTGTTTCATTGCCCTGCATGGCGCCCTTCGGCTCACCCAGAATGGACGGACTGAAGGAAAACACCACGAAGGCGGAACTGCCCAGGGCGACCATTTTGGAAAAAGTCTCCCACTGCCGCAGATACTTCTTCAGGTTCGCCAACATGATGATGAGGTCAGGGATAAGGATGAGAAGGAACATGACAATGTGGAGGCACCTGATTAGCGTCATGTCGTTCATGCCGGTTCTGTTGCTCCCGAATTTCGAGATGAGGAAGCTCGTGTGCAGAATGAGGAACGTGAAGTAGACCAGCACGCTGCAGTAGAAGAACGGCTTGATCTTCCGCCACTTGATGAAGAGGAAGCTCTCGAGCAGCGGGTGCTTGAGGAGCGACTCGATCCTCGTGGTGGAGAGCTCGGACATGAGCGAACTCTGCACGTCCTCCATGTCGGGCGAGAGCAGCACGGAGTAGTCGAAGGTGACGCGGAAGTCGGGGTCGTACTGCGGCTTGTTGGAGAGCTTGACCCGCGCGTCGAACAGGCGCCGGAAGAGCTGCGTGGCGCTGGGGAGGTGCTCCAGCACGAGGGAGCAGCGAGACTCGCCCTCTGCGTCCTTGCGGGTCAGGTGGTCGCCATTGTTCAGGAGGAGCTCGCAGCAGTCGATGGAGCTCCTGTGAACCGCGTAGTGGAACGGCTCCTTGCTTTCGTTGTCAGCCTGCGTGACCAAGTGCTCCACCCTCTTCGTGCCGAGGAGCTGACTCAGACTGGACGCGCAGCCGCTGTGACACGCAGCGTGCAGCACCGACTGTCCACGACGAGTTACCACCGTCGGGTCGGCCCCCGAAGACAGCAGGAGTTCCACCACTTTGGGACAATGCAGCCGCGACGCCAGGAACAGCGGCGACTCGCCTTTCGTGTTGATGGTGTTGACGTCGGCGCCATTCTCGATCAGGAGCGCGACCAGCTCCGTGAGCGAAGGCTCCTCGGCGGCGTCGCACTCGCACTTCAGCGCCATGTGCAGCACGGTGTTGCCCTCGCGGTTGCCTGCGGTCATCGTGTCGTCGGACAGCTTCCCGCGCATCAGCATGCGGACGATGTCTGTGCTGCGGGCGTAGGCGGCCAAGTGAAACACGGTGTTCCGGTCGCCATCGCGAACCGACAGATCTGTGTGGTACTGCATCATGAGGGTGCTGGCGGCGAGGTCCCCGTGGCGGATGGCAGCGTGCAGGGGCGCCTCGACGCGCACCTCCTTCACGGACTGCGGGGGTTCGCTGAGGACGTTGGGGGAGGCTCCACGCCGCAGGAGTTCCGCGACGCCCTCGTGCCAGCCCTCGTGGACGGCCAAGTGCAGGGGCGTGTGGCCAAGGGTGTCCATCGCGCCCAGCTGTTGAAAAGACAAAAGACAAAGTCAGTAAGGAAACATTCTACTAATACGAAAGAAAACACTTTACACAAAAGAAAATGTTTATACAAAGTGTTTTCCTCTCCCACGATACAATGTACATTCTATCATAATGATCCAAGGCTACACCTGCAAGTGCACCCCTATTTCCTGAATGCTACAAAGGCTCATGATTCCGCACGTGACTCACCTTGGCGCCATGGTCCAGCAACAGCCGAAGTACCCTGTGATGACGCACGTGGCACGCTGTGTGGAGAGCTGTGAAGCCGCCATACCTCAGGGTGTTCAGGAGCTCCGGGGAATCCACTAAAATCCGCGAGAGAGTACCCAGTTCGCCATTCTGGATTGCCTGAAAATTATCAAAATTTGAATTACTTTTCATATTTTGAAGATCATATATCTGTACATTTTTTCTATATATATATATTATATATATATATATATATATATATATATATATATATATATATATGTATACAGACATATGCATACTGCATTTATCTACGCATAAGTAAATATACAGTATATGCATACATGCAAGCAGACATAAACACACACGCACTGCTTATCAACTTAAAAACTGCTATTAAGTAATTCTTTGCGGTCGCTCGCTACCTCCACTGCGCCTACACACAGCCTTCCACTTGACGCAATCCATGTTGCAATTTCGAGACAATTACACCACGAAGAAAATCACCTGGACTGACTCATTCGTCTTTGTGGCCATGCAGGGTGTTTGTAAGCGTATACAGGAAATAGGATATAGGGGATACTAGGTAAATTTTGCCTTCGTGGCCATTTTTAGTTTGTGTAAAAATAAATGGTAACGCGTGTCAAACTTTGTACGAGTGTGTTAGTGAGTGTGTATGAGTGTGTGTATGTGTGTATGTGTGTGTGTATGTGTGTGTGTGTGTGTGTGTGTGTGCGTTGTGTGTGTTGTGTGTGTGTGTGTGTGTGTGTGTGTGTGTGTGTGTGTGTGTGTGTGTGTGTGTGTGTGTGTGTGTGTGTGTGTGTGTGTATGTGTGTATGTATGTGTGTGTACATGTGTGTGTACATGTGCGTGTACGTGTGCGTGTGCATGTGCATTTGTACACATGTGCGCGCTCGCGTGCATTTGTAAGCACATACGCGCGCGTGTATGTATCCGTGTGCGTGTTTTACAAACGCACATACAAACGCAAATGTTCCGAAGACAGCTCGCAAAACTACTCACGATGAAGAGCGGCGGGATGGTCGTCCGCGCGTCCAGGCTGTCGCTGGAGAGCCTCGAGAACATGGATCCGTCGGACGACAGCCCGAGGGTCATTCTAGAGTAGGCCGCCTCGACCGACACGACGCTCGCCTTCCGGTCCGGCTTCAGACAGAGCATGTGCTGGTACTCATCGTCTGAGTAGTCCGACCTCAGGGAGTCGCTGCGGTCTCTGCGGGAGAAAAGAAATTCGGGGTTAACCTTTCTATCGCAAATCGCAATCCTCGTAAATATGACGCTTACGATACTACAAGTGATTACCTGTGCATTGCTGAGGCGAATAAACACTTCAAATACCAGTTTAAAGTTAGAGAGGAATTTATTTACAAAGCAACACTAAAATGAAAGGCACTGTTCATAACTTGTTCTTCCGTAAGTTGTTTTATACAATTATAACTATAATAAAGCACAGAGTACCAACCTGCGACCCCAAAACGGGATATATCTTGAAAAACGCATCGTGGAATATCTAATAAAACTGCCTAATACACTCCAATATCGTCAAGTCTTTTATAGACCCGTTTCAACACATATTTCCGCTACGCAGCGTATGTTGTACGCTCGCCTCAACGAGCGATCACAATTAGCTTAGTCTGTGCGACAGACCTTCCACACGTTTTCTATTCGGAATGTGAGGCTGTACTGTATCACAATCACGTAAGTTGCGTTTTCTCTCTAATTTACAATATTCTTCTTCACTAGTACACTTATAAGTACACTCTTTCACTTAAAAAAATGTAGTAAATAATCTTTTCCACAGCCAAAAGGCATGAGAACAGCCAGTGCGTTCGGAGCGAAGGCACGTGCGAGACTGGACTGACCGCCGCCACGCGCTTTATGTATATGATGCCAACAGGAAATCCCAGGATCGGTCAATCCTACAGGAAATTTTTAAATTACTCCGGTTCTTTGTTTCTCGTGTAGACGGTCCTTCCGCCGTTACGGAAGATGGAAAGGAACTCTTCCTCAGTGCCTATGGGAAATTGCAGCTTTCGAAACTTCCCGACGCTAAAAATAGATGTGAATTTATATCGGGATATCTCGTAGACGGTAAAACTACCCTAGTAATGTAACGGATCAGAATGTATGAGTCACGTAAAATTGCAAAACATTCTGAATGCATATACATAAATGAATACATAAAATATACAAGAATAAATATTTCCTTGATGAATATCTACACTTCTGACTATATATATATATATATATATATATATATATATATATATATATATATATATATATATATATGTGTGTGTGTGTGTGTGTGTGTGTGTGTGTGTGTGTGTGTATGTATGTATGTATATTGATAGATAGATATAGATCTAGATCTATACATATCAGCAGGTGATATTAACCTACACCTGTTATTAAATCAACTTGAAAAAAAAATCTAATTCTCAAGCCTCTTTAACTATATGTCAAGGCTAACACACATAATCTAACCTTCTTCAATCTATAATTAGACTAGCCCTTCTAGCGGTCGCCATCTCTTGCAAGACAAACAAAGTCAGTCTCCCGCTTACATAATTTCCTGTAAGCGGACTGTTACAAGCACGAGACGTTTCCCGCGCGGAGAAAATCCTTCAGGCAAGAAGAAACCAGAATGAAGATTTCGGAGAAATATCCCTGAAGGGCACAACCGGCTTCTACGGCCTTCGAGGAACAGAGATTACGTCGATGGCTCGAATCTAGGTTAAGGTGATGCGCTTTTGTTTGGGGAAGAAGCAAGGGGCGGTGTACATCTCCCTTCTTTCTTTCTTTCTCTCTGTCTCTGACTCTGTCTGTCTGTCTCACACACTCTCTCTCTCACTTCCTCTCCTCTCCTCCTCCCTCATCTCTCCCCCTCCCTCTCCATCTCTCCCTCTCTCTCCCTTCCCCCCCCTCTCTCTATCTATCTCTATCTCTCTCTCTCTCCCTCTCTCTCTCTCTCCTCCTCTATCCCTTTCCCTCTCTTCCTCCCTCCTCTCTCCCTCCTCTTCCTTCCTCCCCTCTCTCCCTCCTCTTCCTCTTCCCTCCCTATTCTCCTTCTCTCCTCCCTCTCCCCTCTCTCTCTGTTCTTGATATTTTTATGACGCAACTCTGTTGCTATTTACGTTGATGATCAAATTGCTTCTTTTTTTTGCAACAACCACTGCTTCTACTGCTGCTGTTACTGCTGCTTCAATTACTATTACTGTTACTGCTACTATAACTACTGATACTGCTATTACTACTAATACCGATATTCCTTCTACTGGTATTCCTACAATTGCCGGTATTCCTATTACTACTATTACTACTACTGCTACTATCTGAATATTCCTGCTACAACTACTTGACTATTGTTGCTGTCACCACTACCGATATGCGACTGTTACATCGGAAAAGGTTGCTTCCTTTATTGATAATGATAACTGTAACAAATATTATTGGAATATTGCTAGTGAATATAACAATGCGATTATAATAACTATGGGAATGATATACATGGTTGTGAGTATAGTGGTGATCACAAGAACAACTTTAATAACAACATTAGTGATACCACCATTGCTATCTTTTATAAGAGTCTTAAGGATTATAAAAATTATTGTAAAATGGTAACAACTATATGTGTAAAATAACAACAATTTCCCTAATAAAACTGGTCAGAGGTAAACGTTCTAATAAGGTGAATGATATTGATAACAAAGATGGTGATAGGAGCAATAGAGAAAAATACCAGCAATAACAAAGGCAAAATATAACCAAACCAAACACTAATTGATAATAATAATAATAATAATGATAAAATGATAATGGTAATCATATAAAACTATAATAATGGTAAGAATAACAGATAATCATGATAACATTAATGGTATGATGTTTATTCTTCTTCTTATTATTATTATTATCATTATTATTCGCAGTATTATCATAATAATGATGATGATAATAACAATGATAATGATAATAATAATACCACTTACTATTTATTTCATTATCGTTATTACTATAATAATAATCTAATACATTATTGTTATTATTATCAATATTATCATTATGACAATTATCAATTTGATCATTATTCATTACCAATTTATTGTTACCAATACTGTTATCAATATCATCGTCATCATCATTATAACTACAACTGTTAGATGAAGCATCATTATCATTATCATTAATATCATTTAAAGTAGTAGTAGTAGTTTCTACAATAGTTTTGTTCCACTATTACTATCGTATCACATTATCATCATCATTATTGTTATCATCAGTATTATAATCAATATCATCTCTATTATCATTACTATATTTATTATTGTTATTGTCATTATCACAGTTATGATTATTACATTGTTTCTGGTATTATCATGAATGCTGTTATAATCCTTTTTGTTATAATTACAATAATTTTCAGTATCAATGTTACCATTATTATTACTATAATTATTATCATTATCATTACTTTTGCTTTTATTATCATAACATTACTACCATTACTATCATAATTTGTATCATCATTTTTCTAAAATTATCACTGCTCTTATAGCTTTTAAAATCATCATTATCAACATCAATATTATTGTCATTATCATTATTTTATCCTCTATCATGATTGTTTTTGTTATCATTATTAATGCTATTATCAGTGTTATCATTATCATTATTAATATTATTGATTTATATATAAGTAGTGCTCATTATTATCATGATTAAGATCATTATCACCATCACTACGGTTATTATTGTCACTTTCAGCATATTCACTCTTATCATTGTCTATATTTAATTATTATTATCACGATTTGTACTATCATTGTTATCATAATCATTTTTCTTATCATGATCATCGTTATCAGCATTATCACCATTACTATCGAGACCATTCTTATAATAAAATTATCATTATTATTATTACTACTATTACTATTATTATCATTATCATTACGAAGAGAATAACAATAATCAAATAAAGTTCATTTTGATTATCTTGTTTATTACGATCATCTTAATAATTCATTACTACATTATGTTATTGTTACTATTATTATTATCAATGTCATCTTTAATTATATTGATAACAATAAATGTTATCACCATTACAATCATATATTACTGTCATTTTTTACTATCATTATTATCATTTCTTATTATTACTATCATCATTACTATCATTATCATTGTTATTATCGTACTTATCATACTTTCTACCATTATTTTCATAATCATCATCATTACCTTCAATATCTTTATTATCCTTGTTATTATCGTTACCATAATCATTACTTATCTTTTGTTATTATCGCTATTATTACTATCATCATTATCATTCGTATTGCTATTATTCTAATCATCACCATTATCATCATTATTATTACCATTAACATCATCTTTACCATTATTACCATTATCACTAGCACCATTACCATTATCATTAACAATTCAAAGATGAAAATTACATCACTATCTTCTAACCGAATCCAACCGGTTAACGTGACTTCCGTTATAGGTTTCCAAATAAGGACTTTTGCCTTCAATCAACTCCCAACGGTTATTTTAATCCATAAGTCACTCCAACTTCCGTGTCACAGTTTTTCCAAAATCTCTTCTTTCTGAGTGACGTCATTCTCGTGTCACGTGCTCTTCACAAGGTAAAGGTTATGTCATGGTGTTTTTTCCACGCGACAGGAAATCATCTGCTTGTTTTTACGTTTTTGTTATATATTTGATATTTACTTTTTTATTATAGCGTTTTTATTATAGCATTTTCTTATATTTTTCATTATAGTTTTATAATTTTTTTTAGTATAGTTTATATTTTATTATTATAGTTTTTATTATAGCATTTTCTTATATTTGATATTTACTTTTTTTTTAATCATAACGGGACGATTAGTCGATTTGACGTCTTGAAAATGTCATTTAGATATGTATGCGTGATCGATTCTTTTTACCGTTTTGCATGTAATTACTATAAAAAAACTGGAGTAAGAAACTATCGTAATAAAAAAATAGACCAGTTATCCCTAAACTGTTAGGTTAGGTTAGGTTAGCACATGAGACGATCGGGAGGGTGTGGGGCGTCACGGCAAAATTCTTCATTACCTTTTATTTAGATTTACATAATATCTTTAACTGATATCATCTTAAGACCATTTACAGTACGAATAATGAACGTAGTTTGCACTGTCGCTCAGTATTTTTTGTTATCATTCTGAACCTCACAGTCTGCAGACAAAGCTTACAAATGATGGACGAAATTAGAATTATAATGTCAGTAATGATGATATTAATAGTAACAACAACAACAACAACAATAATAATATAGTAAAAAATTACATAACAACAATTAATAAATAATAAAAAATGATAAAAACAACAACAATAATAATGAAAATAATAATAAAAATGATAAAAACAACAACAATAATAATGAAAATATACATAATAAAGAAAATAATAATAATAGAAGTAACAGCAGCAGGACTACGTAACGTCACTAAATATTTTTTCGCTTTGAGACAAAAAAAAATCTAATCAATAACAAACTATAACCATCTGAAAACCATAGCCAACATGTAGTGATTATACAATACATTTTAAACACGTCAAATCAAAGCATAGAATATTCTGCAGCATAGTCTAGCCTTGTGAAACTTAGTCGTCTCATTGCACACAAGTTCAACCATAACCTTTCTGAAGATAATGGCTTGGAGTTACAATAGTTTTATGTGTGTATGTTTGCTCAAGAATAAGTTGAGGTAGGGGGGAGAAAATGAAGATTTACTGTGTGTTGTTCTTGAGGGAGGGAGAGAGAGAGAGAGAGAGGAGAGAGAGAGAGAGAGAGAGAGA